TCTTAGGTGCACGCTACCATGCCTGGAAAATCTCTTTCTTTTCCTTGCTGTGTACCCACATACAAAAGAATGAAGTTGGACCCTACCTTACCTATACAGCATAAAATTTTAACTCAAAACATAAATAAAAATAAATCTAAATTAATCAAGAAAAGCATAGACTAATATGAAGAAAACTTCAATACCATATTGAAAGGCAATTTTAAAAATGGAACAAAAGGAAAACTATCTCAGGGGGGGTTTTTTGGCGTTTTTGGGGGGGGGTTGATACCTGAGATCAAACTCGGGACCTTGCGCTTGCAAGGCAGGTGCCAGAACCACTGAGCTAAATCCCCAGCCCTGTCAGGTTTTGAGAATACTAATAAAGATTCTCTTTTAAATGATTCTTTTTGGGGGGGGCAACAGTAGGCCTCAAACTCAGGGATACTCTACTACTGAGGAACATCCTCATTCCATATAAAAAAATTTTTCCCTTATATTAAGACAGTCTCAAAAAAAAAAAGACAAAGTTTCACTAAATTGCCTGGGCTGGCCTTGAATTTTCACTCTTCCTCTCTCAGCCTTTCAAGTCACAGGGATTACAGGCACATACCTCCATGCTCAGCTTAATGATCCTAATTTTTATCGTAAAGAATATAATCCTGGGCCAGGGATTTAGCTCAGTGGTTCCACCGCCTGCCTTGCAAGCACAAGGTCCCGAGTTCAATCCCTGGTACCAAAAAAAGAGAATATAATCTTGGTAATATCTAAAGTATATGTAAAATAATAGCGAAGAGGCCTTGCTTGACTAAAAAGAAACCATTACAAGGGTGCTATAGTTGGTTTTTTTGGGGGGGTACAGGGGATCGAACTTGGGTCCTTGTGCTTGCGCAGCAGGCAGTGAGACCACTGAGCTAAATCCCTAGCCCAAGGATGCTATAGTTGAATCAATGTGGTACTGGCAAAGGAATAGACAAACAGATGGACAGAGCCATGGGAGGAGACAGAACTGCAGCTCAGCTTATTTAAGGTCTCACACATGACACATGTGGGGTTTCAGCTCAGCAGGAAAGGGCTGGATTATACAGTGAGAGATGGCAGCGCCACCCCATTATCCTGGGAGAAAATATAACTGTGCTCCTCTCCTACTAGCTCCCAAAATAACTGCAGAAGGCTCCAACTCTTAAGTGCAAAAAATAATATAAGAATCTAGTGAGAGAATGTAAGAGATTGGTGACTTTCTTAACCAATACTGAAAACTGAAGTTTCAGAGGGAAAGGAGGGTATATTTGACTATTTATTTATTTATTTATTTATTTATTTATTTATTTATGTAGAGACAGGGTCTTGCTATGTTGCTCAGGCTGGCCTTAAACTTGTGGTGATTCTCCTGCCTCGGCCTCCTGAGTGCTGGCCTTACAGGAGTGCACCACCACACCCAACTCAATAAACCTCTTTTCTTTATAAAGCCATCCTCGCTCAGGATTTCATTATAGCAATGCAAAACAAAGACAATGGGCATGAGATATATTCGTATAAAAAGCAGCTATTGTCTAGTAAAAATGAAGATTCTGACATCTTTCAGCCCAACAGTCCCACTCCTGGGATTCATCCCTTAGGCCAGTGATGGCGAACCTTTTAGAGACCGAGTGTTCAAATTGCAACCCCAAACCCATTTATTTATCACAAAGTGCCAACACTGCAATTAAACCTGAACATTGAGGTTTTAGTTTAGATAAAACAACTGTTATCTGATGCTCTGCTGCTGGGGCAACTTGGCTTTTGAGGTGACAGAGAGGGCTCTGCATGCCCGTGGTGACTCAGGTCCCTTAGATTTGCCACCACTGCTCAGGCCTAAGAGGGATTTATTCTAGCAGTGTTCACGCTGCCGAAGAATGGGGACACAGCAAAGGCCCCAGCCAGTGCTTTCCTGCCCTGTGGATGTCACAGCCACTGAAGAGTCAATTAGGGCCGTGACAGCTGACACAAAGGGCACCCCATGAGGCATCACTGAACAAGGAGACTGCACTTGGTAAACCAGTACCGACTAAGATGAAATGATAACCACGCCTTGTGTATACATTGACATATATATGGGATTATTCTTTTTTTGTTGTTATTTTAAAAGTTTTTTTGTTTGTTTGTTTTTTTACTGAGTCAAGCTCACCTTGAATTCACTATGTATCCAAGGCTGGCCTTGAACTCATGGTGATCCTCCTGCCTCAGTTCCCTTAGTGTTGGGATTACAGGCATGCACCAACTGTAGGCTTATTCTTTATTATAAGAGTAGAGATAAAATATAGGAAGATACATAATAAGATGTTACACTGGATTACCTGGGGGTGGGAAATTTGGGTGGAAGGGGGAAGAAGTCAAGCAAGGAAGAAAAAAAAAATAACCTGCATTAAGATAACGTGTTTTATGACCATATATTCAACCGAGTTCACAGAAACAGACTAATAGAAGATATCTATCTATCTACCTATCTAATATTTATAGGAAGAAGTGGGAAGTTGCCCCATGCAGTTATGGAGCTGGCCCATAATCTGTTGTCTGCAAGGTAGAAACAACTCAGGAAAGTTGGTAGAAGCTGGGTATGGTGGGGCAGGCCTTGAATCCCAACATTCTGGGAGGCCAAGTCATGAGGATCAGCTTAAGCCTGGCATAGGAAATTGAGCAAGACCCTGTCCCAAAATTTATGATATTAATAATAATAACAACAACAATACCAATACTAATACCAATTGTTATAAAGAATACACTTGTCAAAAAACAGGCTCTTAGGGTTGGTGATTTTAGCTCAGTGGCACTGCACTTGCCTCGAAAGTGCAAGGTCCTGAATTCGATCCCTGGTGGGGGGGGGGAGACAGGCTCTTTGTTGCGAGAAAAAGAAAGTTTACTCCAGTAAACAGAGACTAAAATCAGGAGATTCTAACAGCTAGCTGGGAGAGGCCAAGTTTATTACATCTGTGTGTGAATGGGCTGACATTGGGAGAGAGGTAGTAGCAGCTAGCTGGGAGAAATTTCATCCGTGAGTGGATGGGCTAACACCATGGAAGAGAACTATTAGCAACTAACTGCAAAAGAAATTAGGCTTATACAGGTATTAAAGGAGCTAAGGAATCTGGGGTAAAAAATTTATGACTTGGATGCCCAAGAACTGTCTGCTCAGGTGTGTACAGAATTACTGGACTTCTCAGAGCCAGGGGGGTTATATACTTCCTTTTGAGTTATTTTGCCTTATTTACTAAAAAACTGCTGTTGTTTGCTAAAAGCAGCCTGTTTGCTTTGTTCCGTTTGTTTACAAAAGACTCACTGAATCAGACCTGACACCAATAACAGCAATAAAAAGAGCTAAGAGGGCTGGGGATTTAGCTCAGCGGTTTTGCCGCCTGCTGCGCAAGCGCAAGGACCCGAGTCCGATCCTCAGTACCAAAAAAAAAAAGAGAGAGCTAAGAATGTAGCTCAGTGCAAAGGCCTCAGCATCAATCTCCATCACTCCCCCCCCCCGCTTTGGTACTGAGAATTGAACTCAGCACCTTGCACTTGCCTGGCAGGCACGACACCACTGAGCTAAATCCCCGGCCCCCCCATCACTTTTATTTATTTATTTATTTTCCCCGTCACTTTTAAACAAAAGCAAAAACAAAACAAGGAACGCTGGCATTGTAAGTCCCAGGCTGAGAGAAGGGAAAAGTTTACGCCCTAGCTCAGTCACCAGTATAGACTGACTTTCTCCTCCTGCACTTTTTGGGACTAGCAATCATCCTTTTGCTTTCTTTTCTTTTGTTTGGTACTGGGGACTGAACTCGGGTCCTTGTGCTTCCGCAGCTGGCGGTGAAACCACTGAGCTAAATCTCCAGCCCCTTTTGCTTTATTTTCAATTTCTGGGTAATGCGGCCGGAGCATACACTGGACTTTCTCTATGGTTCAGGAAATTATCTGACATGGGAAAGTGTTAATTAAGACAAATGGAGCAAGGACTGATAGCAACAACAACAAACTTCTGCTCTTATAAATTAGAATAAGGTTTTTTTCAATGCTGGGAATTGAGCACTGAGCTACATCCTCAGCCTTTTTATTTTATTTTTACTTTTTGTTTTATTTGAGACAGAGTCTTGCTATGTAGCTCAGGCTGGCCTCGAACAAGCAGCCATCTTCCTGCCTCAGCCTCCCAAGTGCTGGGATTACAGGTGTGCACCATCATGCCCAGCTAGCCTTTTTATTTTTGTTTTTTACATTTTGAGACAAGTTCTTGTTAAGTTGTCCAGGATGACCTCGAACTTGGAATCCTCTTGCCTCAGCCTCCTGAGTAGTTGTGACCACAATTGTGCACCACCACACCTGGCTCAAAGGCATTTGTAAAGCTGAAGCCAGGGCTGGGGATTTAGCTCAGTGGTTCTGTTGCCTGCTTCTCAGGGCACAAAGTCCCGAGTTCAATCCCCGGTACCAAAAGAAAAAGCTGAAGCCAATACTTAGATGGAAGCTCTGGCTTGGCAGTTACTGCTGTGGGTGTGCAGAGCAGTCCCCCAAGCGGGGTCTGTGCCCAGGTCAGTCAGTGCTTCTGGGACTCTGCTGGTGCCAGGGCACCCTCAGCAGCCCTGCCGTGGCTGAGTAGGGGACCAGAGGGTGGGCTCTGTGTGTGAAATGTGCCTCTGCTAATACAGAGAGCCTCTGACTTCCACTTTTTCAATTTTTTTAGCAAAATATTTATTGGTACATTTTAGATATACATAATGATAACATTCATCATAGGGAATTTGTACCTGTACCTGATATATCTTGCTGCTTCTTTTTTTATCCACCCCCCTTACATACACAAACTTCGTTTCTATTTTTTCCTTCTATTTTTACTTTTTTTTCTTGTTCCTTCTTTCCTTCTCTCCTCCTCTGTCCCTTGTTCCACTTCTCATTTGAACATTTTCTTCCCATTTCCCAATGTCTTTTTTGCATTTTAATCCTTATTTCCACTTTCAGTTTCTCCCACCAGAAAAACAATGCAGCATTTATTTCACTTAAGCATTTGGTCTCAAGGTGCATCCATTTAGTCATAAATATCTCAAGCTCATTCTTCTTTTTTTTTTTCTGGAACTAAAAAAAAGACTTTATTTATTGAGGGCAAGAGAATGCAAACAATGTAAAAATCAAAAGCTTATCTAGCATTTAACTAACTTTCCTTTCTCTGCTTGTCCAATGAGAGCTGGATGTTATTTGTACATTTTCTAAGGGTCCTGATCTGCTCATGAAATCTTTATACACAGGGAAACTGAGGGCCAGATTCCGTAAGTGGCCCTTTGGGAGAACTCTCATCTGGGCAGGAGTAAGTGTTCAATTCTGCCTTCTGCTTCATGTGCACTACAAAATAATCATTGCACGCAATGGTGAGGCCTGTGATTAGTGAAAAGAAGCTCTGGAAGCCCACTTTGCCATCTCGGCACTGGTCCAGGTCCTTCATGATTTTGTCCACAGCCAGAGGATCTTTTTGATTTTCCAAAAACCCAGGGAACTCCTTTTCCATGAGTACTTGCAGGTCCTCCTTCGTTAAGTAGCCTTTGTCCCCGGCAAATTTGTGAAATGTAAACATCATGGTTTCCATGGCGTGTTCCACTTGGGATGGCATTTTGGTGAAGTCTGTTGAAACCAGGGCTCTCGGGCTGTGGGCGGCGGGCAGGCGGCAGCCAAGCTCATTCTTCTTTACAGCACAGTAATACTCCATTGTATATATATAAAAACACCCCACATCTTCTTTATCCATTCATTGGTTGACAGGCATTTGGGCTGTTTCCAAGATTTAGCTATTGCAAACTTCACTGCTATAAACATAAGTGTGCTACATCACTATGGTATGATGCTTTTAATTCTTTGGGGAAGATACCAAGAAGGGTAATAGCTGGGTCAAATGGAAACTCCAGTTTTAGTTCTTTGAGGTATTGGCATACTGATTTTCACAGTGGTTGCATCAGTCTGCACTCCCCCAACAGTGGAGAAGGATTTCTTTTTCCCCACAGCCCCTCCAGTATTTGTTATTGGTGGTTTTTTGATAACAGCCATTCTTTCTGGAGTGAGATGGAATCTCAGCATTGTTTTAATTTGCATCTCTTGAATGACCAGTGATGTTAAGCATTTTTTCATATATTTATTTACTGTTTCTACTTCTTCATCTGAGAATTGTGTATTCATTTCAGATGCCCATTTTTGGATTGTGTCTTTAAATTTGGAGGGTTTGATTTGTATGAGTTCTCTATATTTTCTAGATATTAGTCCTTTGTCTGAGGAACAGCTGGCAAAATCTTTTCCCCACATGTTGCATTGTCTCTTCACCCTGTTGGTGGTTTCTCTTGCTGTGGAAAAGCTTTTTAATGAGATCCCAACTGTTGATTCTTTGCGATACTTCCTGTGCCACTGAGGTTTTGTTCACAAAGTCTTTGCTTACACCAATGTCTTTGAGAGTTCTACCTATTCTTTCTTCCATCAGATTGTTTCTTTTTTAATATATTTATTTTGTTTTGGTTTTGGTTTTTTTGTTTGTTTTTTTTGGTACCGGGCATTGAACTAGGGTCCTTGCGCTTGCACAGCAGGCGGTGAAACCACTGAGCTAAATCCCTGGCCCTTCTTTTTTAATATTTTATTTATTTATTTATTTATTTATTTAGGTACTGGGGATGGAACTTGGGTCCTTGTGCTTGAGCAGCAGGCGGAAGAACCACTGAGCTAAATCCCTGGCCCCCAAACAACTAAATATTACAACAGGAACACTTAACTTGCTAGAAAATAAAATAGGTAAAAATCTTGAAGACATAGGCATGGCAAGGACTTTCAGCACAGAACCCCAGTTGCACAGGAAATAGTACCAAGAATCCACAAATGGGATCATATCAAATGTAAAAGCTTCTGCACAGCAAAAGAAACAGTGTGAAACCAACAGAGTGAAAAGAAAACCTACAGAATAGGAAAAAAATTTTGCCAGCTATTCCTCAGACAGAGGACTAATATATAGAATGTATAAAGAACTAAAAAAATTAGACCCCCCTCAAAATAAAAGACCCAATCCAAAAAATGGGCAAATGAAATGAATAGATATTTCACAGAAGTACAAATGGCCATTAAACACATGAAGAAATGTTCAACATCATTGGCCATTAGAGAATTGAAAATTAAAACAACACTGAGGGCCTGACATGGTGACACGTGCCTGTAATTCCAACACTTGGGAGGCTGAGGCAGGAGGATCATTGCAAGTTCAAGGCCAGCTTGGGCTACACAGAGAGTTCAAGGCCAGTATAAACTTCATAGTGAGATCCTGTCTCAAACAAAACAAAACACTGAGATTCCACCTTACCCCAGAAATAATAGTGATCATCAAGAAATCAAATAATAATAAAAAATTCTAGCAAAGTTGTGGGGAAAAGGAACACTTCTCCATTGTTGGTGGGAGTGTAAACTAGTACAGCCACTATGGAAATCAGTATGAAGATTCCTCAAAAAACTAAAGCTACAAATTCCATTTGACCTAGCTATTCCCCTTCTAGATATTTTCCTGAATGAGTCAAAGACATATTACAGTGATACATGCATAGTCATCCTTATAGCAGCATGATTCATAATAGCTAAGTCTTAGAAGCAGCCTATATATACATCAACAGATGAATGGATAAAGAAAATGAAGTATTTTACACAGTGGAGTACTACTCTGCCATAAATAAGGATAAACGAGCCATTTGTAAGAAAATGGATGTATCTTTAAACCATGTTAAGTGAAATAAATTAGACACACAAGCTTAAATGTCACATGGTTTCTGTTATATGAGAAACCCAAATTATGAAGAAAGAGCAAAATAAGAGATAGTTAATAGGAAGTAGATCTTTTCTTTTTTTTTTTTTTTGGTACCGGGGGTTGAACTCAGGTCCTTGCGCTTGTGAGGCAGGCGGGGGAACCACTGAGCTAAATCCCCGGCCCTAGTAGATCTTTTCTTAAATGGGAAGGAGATTAAAAGATGGATGGAGGGGAGGGCCAGGATTTAGCTCAGTGGCATGCACCCGCCTGGCAAATGCGAGGTCCTGAGTTTGATCCCTGGTATGCCCCCCCCCCAAAAGATGTATGGAGGGTAGAGGAAAGGGTGGATAAGGGGACAAAAAAAGGAATTAAGGTGTATTATGTATATGTACCAACTCCACACAAGGAATCTAAGCATTGTGTGTTGCAAACAAGTACTAATAAAAAAATGTAAAAACCATTCTTAAGACTATTGGCTGTGAGAAAATCGGGGGCTGGCTTTGGTTCACAGGCCATTGTTTGCCTGGTTCAACATTCAGTCAAATGTTCATTGTGGGCTGGGGATTTAGCTCAGTGGCTCCGTACCAGTCTCACAAGCACAAGGTCCTGAGTTCGATCCTCAGTCCCCCCTCAAAAAACTTCAATGTGAATACTTCCAACATTTCCCCATGATGCTGTGAAAGTGTTCGTCCCTCTCTCTCTCTCTTTTTTTTTTTACTACTCAGGATCAAACCTAGGGTCTTTACACTGAGCTAAATCCTCAGCTCTCTTAATTTATTTGAGATGGCGTCTCCCTAAGTCATTAAATTGTCCATGCTGGGCTTGAATTTTGGATTCTTCTGCTTCAGCCTCAGTACTGTACTCAGTACTGTACTTCAGCCTCCCTGAGTACTCAGTACAGGCATGTGCCACCACACTTGGCTTCCCCTTATTTCTTTCCTGTTCTCCTGTAATGTTTTCCTCCAGGTATGACTCATCCCTCTGCCTCTTTAAAACTTTACTCAGCAACATATCTTTATTCAAGCCTACCTTTGAGCATTTTTTTGAGACAGGGTCTCACTACGCAGTTCAGGCTGGCCTCGAACTCTCGGCGATCCTCCTGCCTCAGCCTCCCCAGTGCTGGGATTACAGGCTTGCGCCATCACACCTGGCTGAGCATTCTTTTTTATTTTTTTAAGCAAAACGTTTATTGGTACATTTTAGATATACATAATAACACTCATCAAAGGGAATTTGTACCTGTACATGATATATCTTGCTGCTGCTTTTTTGAGCATCCTATTTTAAATTGCAATTCGTTTGCCTAGCTCCTTTACCTTGTTCAATTTTTGGTTTCTCTTAGCTCCTTTTGGGGGGCCGGTGGTACTGGGGATGGAACCCAGGGCTTTGCTACATGCTAGGTAAGCACTTTACCACCAACCTACATCCCCAACCCTTTTTAAGATTTTGAGTCTACCCAAGTTGCCCAGGCTGGCCTCTTAACTTGCAATCTTCCTTGCTTCAGCTTCCCAAGTAGCTAGGATTACAAACATGTGCCACCACACCCAGAAACCACTCTTTAATAAATAATTTGTCTTTCAATGTATTTATTAGCTATATCCATCTCTTCTCACCCAATATCCCTAAAACAAGCTCCATGAAGACAGAGGCTTTTATTTTGCTAATGAATTGCAAGCATTTAGGTAAATATCTGCTAAATATATGAATGAACAGCATAAGTATTATTTTTGAAAACAGAAACCAAATAGGCAAAGCAACAAATTTAGAAATCTTCCTTGAGTATCCAAACCTTTGGACCGAGGTTAACAAAAGGGGAGATTTCCGGTCTCTTTAGCTCCACCCACTTCTCCAGCTTCCAAACCCGCTGCTTCCTGCTTGCCAAGCTCATCCCCAGCCGAGCGCGCGCAGCTCTCTCCCGGCGTCGCCTCTCGCCGCCACTAGAGGTTGCCCGAGCGCGACCGCCTGTCAAAGCCCAAACACTAGATCCACGTGACCCGCGTCGCAGCCGGTGGGCGTCACGTGACAGATTCAGTTTCCCTCCAATGGCTATCCACGTTGGGAAGATTCCGTCCAGAACGTGGCCAGAGGCTTCGAACAGCCTGTTCTTTGGTTACTCAAACGGGCTGCCTCCCCTACTCCAGTTCGGTGGCGGTGTCTCTCAAGGGTCCTCTTCAAAACGGCTTCGGGAGGCATAGGCCTGCGGCGCTCTCAGTCCCGGAAGTGACATCTGCCAGAGGGGCCGGAAGTGGCAGTGGAGGGAGGGAAGATGGCGGAGGTGGTGAGTCCGGTGCCCGGGGCGGGGCGGAGGGAGCCAGGGGAGGTGGGTAGAGCCCGAGGCCCCCCAGTAGCCGACCCTGGCGCCGCGCTGTCTCCCCAGGGGGAGATAATCGAGGGCTGCCGCCTACCCGTGCTGCGGCGGAACCAGGACAACGAAGATGAGTGGCGTGAGTGACGTCAGGGGGCGGGGCCACAAAACCTGGGGACGAGGGGCGGGAGTCAACTGAACCCCCGCAGGGGGCGGGGCCTCGGGAATCCTGGGGCAGGCGTGGCAGTAGATACTCCCGGGGGGGCGTGGCTTTAAACCGTTCGGGGACGAACAGGGCGGGGCTTGGAGAAGGGTGGCACTTAAGTGACTGAAGAGGGCTTGAGCGTGAACCACTAAGTGCTTGGGGCATAGGGCTCCAGTGTGGGGGTGGGGTTCCGGTCGGAGAAGAATGGAGTCCCAGGGCCTGCCCACCTAAGACCCCTGCTTGTGTTCCCATAGCCCTGGCAGAGATCCTAAGTGTGAAGGACATCAATGGCCGGAAGCTTTTCTATGTCCATTACATTGACTGTGAGTTCTGAGCTGGGGTGAAATGGGGCTACAGGGTAGTGTTGGGGGGGAATGCCTCTGGCATTCCTTCCTGAGCTCTTTTTATTCCTGCAGTCAATAAACGTCTGGATGAATGGGTGACCCACGAGAGGCTGGACCTAAAGAAGATCCAGTTCCCCAAGA